GTACGAGATGATCTACCACCATCACAGTCATGATGCATCGCAACAACTGCCGTGTATTCAATATTGTTATTCACAGTTGGTGCTGGACATGATCGTAACGTTTCATTTCTGTATGTAGCACCCCGTGGCTTCCTTTCTGTTCGTTGGTTTACCACTCACGTCTATGATATGCTCTGAAGACATGAATTCCTTGGTTTCATAGCAGGGCTTTCTTCACATGACTGAGGGCAATAGTCGGTCTTGAATTATGTCAGTTGCTTGCGCCCCCACCGGTGTGCCAGTGACCATTCACTGCGTGCTGGTTGTGAGGTACCGGGCAGCAGCTCAGGCGCAACCCGCAGCTAAACCACCAAGGTCGTGTCAGCAGGCTCAGCGGTGGGCGGCGCGCACCGGTGGCAGCAACACCAGCGAGTTCGGTGATCATCTTCACGCCCAGAGGCCCCGGCTCAGGCGTGAGCCGAGCTGTGACTGCACCAGCAGGCAGTGGCATCCCGACGATGCAGTGAACACGTCAGAGCGCCGGGCCGACGGGCACACGTCAGGGCGTCGGGCCGACGGGCACACGTCAGAGTGTCGGGCCGACGGGCACACGTCAGAGTGTCGGGCCGACGGGTACACGTCAGAGTGTCGAAACGACGGGCACGCGTCAGAGTGTCGGGCCGACGGGTACACGTCAGAGTGTCGGGCCGACAGGCACGCTTCAGAGTGTCGGGCCGACGGGCACGCGTCAGAGTGTCGGACAGACGGGCACACGTCAGAGTGTCGGGCCGACGGGCACACGTCAGAGTGTCGGGCCGACGGGCACACGTCAGAGTGTCGGGCCGACGGGTACACGTCAGAGTGTCGGGCCGACGGGCACACGTCAGAGTGTCGGGCCGACGGGTACACGTCAGAGTGTCGAAACGACGGGCACGCGTCAGAGTGTCGGGCCGGCGGGTACACGGCTGAAACGGTGCAAACCATGTACGACATAAACGGCTCGTTCCTCTCGGCGTTTTCTGCACTGATTTAGGGGCGCGGTGTACATGTTTAAATTTGGTGCAATTATTTACTGCGATGATTGCATTGAGCGGTAATCGGAGTGCCTCGTGTGACAGTATCACAATACCAGAACAACACCATTCACGCAGGATCAGGGCCAGCATGGCTATCAAGATCCGTGCATGATGTTAGAGCTCTAATACACCACGCGTCTGCAAATGCTGCAAGCATAGCTGACAACATAGTCTTATTTCAGGCGCACTTTGCAAGGAAGGCAGTGTACGCTGAAGTAAATGCTGCACACACGAAGCCAACACTTTCCTAGGAATGACATGAGCAATTTCTCAATGACTTCTTGCTCAAAACTCATTTAATCACAAGCTGCATCATGAGGTGTCCACCGCTCATTCTCCATACGTGATTCGCTCTGCATTTTCAGGTCTTCAGTAGAGCGGTAAGCAAACATGTTTTGTCATCGGTCATGATTGTTTTCGGAAGACAATCGCTGACACCATTTTTGGTTGTGATCTAGTTATAACGGGGCCATAGATTGATTTATACACGACAGTAGTGACGTTAGGAAGCGGCCATGATCTTTTAAATTGACCGACATTCAGAGGAGCAGACGTTGGTGTGAAAAAACTCCAAGCGATACCGCCATGTTTCATGTATCGACAGACACTTTGCTATTTAACGACCGGTCAGAGTGTCAACGCGCCTCTGTGCATTATCAAACCAAAAAGGCCAATATTTGCATTGTTATCAGATAACGAAGACGTCCTTAGCATCATGCACATCATTTTCGTTATATTTCATCATCAAACTCTTTCGGGAGTCTATGCTTTCCCTCGTGTTCATCATGAAATGTGCTTCAGCTTCACTGCTATGGAACATGTATTGACATTTAAAAATAAACCATTTACATGGAGTGGACCACTATGTGGGCTGTTGCACAATTTGCTAACATCCCAGGGATAGCCAGGAGATCATCGCTGAAACACTACATGATGAGCCGCGTTATATCGGTTTGATTGCCCCTCGTATCCTGATTGCCGCCCTTGCGCTGGCTCGCTACACAATCCACCTTTCCACAAAGGTTAAAAGGTCACAGCGAACGTTGTCCCAGCTCTGACTGAGTCTATGTACTAGCAGGCGTACGTTCTAGATGTCTACAACTCACAGACTATCATCTGGCATGGCTCTGCACAATCAACGCGGCAGCCGGGCAGCCCGGCTCGCCGCCGCCAGCGCCCGCCAGAAGACGGCCAGGCCTGGTCGCAGGGCCCCGGCAGCGCTCACGGCGCCCGGCGGGCCCTGGGCAGCGACAAGACCGACCTCCGCGGCGTCCCCCTCATCCAGCGCCCTCCGCTCGTACACTGTGCGGCCATACCGCAGCTGCACGAACCGGTAGTTGTGGCCGATCGGCTTCAGGTAGCCCTTCAGGGACCGGAACAGCTGCAGCTGTGACGTCATCAGGGGTTAATGGGCGATGTTACTTTGGGCGTGTATAAGTAGTGCTTAATGCGCTGCTGCCCCGATGGCGAGATCGTTAGCGCGCCGGATGCGGCAGCGACGAGTTAGACGCCGGCGTGGAACGTCATCCCCGCAAGAGGCGGCTACGAATCAGCTGGGGGGGGGGGGGGGGGGAAACTGTCACCAGCAGAGGTTGTGTAACTGGCTGTTCTACCTACCACGTTTATGATAGTTGATCACCATTGGGGTCATGGACTTGGACAGGGGAAGGGCAAAGTCAAGACAGCTGCCTTAACGAGGCAAGACACATATGACATGACGTGACAGCATGAGTATCAAGTATCCACAAGGAGCTGATTTTCATCTAGCTATTTTGACAACTGCCCACGCGATTAATAGTCAACATCACCTTTGCTAACGTTGCTTTAACATAACGACAAGGTCAAATATAAGCTCTGCGTACCTGCTTCTCTGTGATCTTCGCTGTGTCCTTGAACAGGGTCCAAGTAACGACCTCGTAGCAGCCGGGCGTGGTGAGCGAACCCTCGTAGCGGTAGAAGTGTTCGGTGCTGGCCGGCATCAGCTCCAGCAGACTCGGTGGATTCTGTACCAGCGTCGAGGAGCCGCCGCCCCTGATCCGTCTCAGAGCCGAGGCCAGCCGCACCAGACCGGATGCTGGTCCAGCGCCCACCTGGGTCACGCCAGAAGTCACGTCCGACCGCAGGTGGCGTGGGGCCACACGGTACACCAGGCTGCAGTCCAGCTCTGACCTGAGCCTTCAGACCACACGGTACACCAGACCGCAGTACAGCCCTGATCTAAGCCTTCAGACCACACGGTACACCAGACCGCAGTCCACCTCTGATCTGAGCCTTCAGACCACACGGTACACCCGACCGCAGTCCAGCTCTGACCTGAGCCTTCAGATCATACGGTACACCAGGCCGCAGTCCAGCTCTGACCTGAGCCTTCAGATCATACGGTACACCAGGCCGCAGTCCAGCTCTGACCTGAGCCTTCAGACCACACGCCCATGCATCAGGTCAGCTCACGGCTGCTGCAGAGCTGGTGAGGCTGCCGGTTTGTGAGGCGGCATGCTTTGGCAGCAAACGTAGTTGACAACGGTTAATGACCCTCGGTGCCAAGAAAGCCGAGCTATCGCCTCTGAATAATTGCGCAGCTCTGGATTCTATGCTAAGAGCTATGGGCATCATATCGTATTCTCAACACATTGTGTTCTTCTGTGCTGCGAATGTCCAAGACAACATACCTCAAACCAAACCGCCAGGACCGCAAGACCGTCAGGGCGTTGCGTAGCCTTCTTCATGTCCGAGTATTTGGCATTTTTGCACACGATGTGCATCTCGAGTGGGTAACTGCGGAGTAACAGGAGCATTTTTATCTGTTGGCCTACCTAGCTTGTTAGTTATCCCCACACTACACCTGCCCTTGGTCCCAAGTTAAGTCTCACACTTCTAAGCGTTAAGTACACTTTTCTCAGGTTCAGCCGTAGAGTAGTGGTATTTGTTAACCTAGACGAGTAGGCAGCGGCCCCCGTCAAGGCCTTCTGGAAAGGTGAGCACAGAGCGGGCTCCGGCGGCAGCTCAACCTCAGACAAACCCATCGCACCGCTTGCCGACCGTCTTACGCCGGGACCCCGGCTGAGCGGTCGCTGCGCGACGGCTGGGGCCGGCTGCGGCGCCGCACCTCCGGCCGTCCAGGATGTGCTCCGAGCCGACCGTGTCGTTTTCGCCCCAGTGGAAGTGGAAGCCGACCACCTGGTACTCGCCGGGCAGCGCGCCGCCGCGAACGACGAGCTCTGGCCGAGCCTTCATCGACGCCGTTGCTGGTGGAGAACAAATTTGCCCTGAGCGTTTGGCGGGCATGCAGCATTTACGGTGCGGTCTCTCGTATCGGCTGTGGTCATTAAGCCCGTGATCTGTACCGCTCTCTGTGGCATCCGGCTGCGATGCGAGCTCAGGGCATGAAGGCCTTGGTCGTGGTTACGGCAAAAAAGTCACACCGGCCCATTGGTCGTGGTTACGGCAGCCAGTCACACCGGCCCATTAGTCGTAGTTACGGCAGCCAGTCAGACCGGCCCATTAGTCGTGGTTACGGCAGCCAGTCACACCGGCCCAACCCATCTCACTGACTCATAACAGACGCAGCTGACATTGTTAACAACAAACGCACATACATATCAGTTTGCATGATCCAATTTAGCAACGGTGCGTGTCTCTGCCTTGGCGACGAACGACCTTAGTCAATGTAACAAATACCACAAACATGTCTCTCTCTGGCACAGTAGTAAAGCGCTGGAATGCTGCGCTTGAAGCGATGGAATCGGGACTGACCACCAGCCGTGTTTGAGGCGATGGAATCGGGACTGACCACCAGCCGTGTTTGAGGCGATGGAATCGGGACTGACCACCAGCCGTGCTTGAGATGATAGAATCGGGACTGACCACCAGCCGTGTTTGAGGTGATGGAATCGGGACTGACTTGCAGCCGTGTTTGAGGTAATGGAATCGGGACTGACCACCAGCCGTGTTTGAGGCGATGGAATCGGGACTGACCACCAGCCGTGCTTGAGGTGATAGAATCGGGACTGACCACCAGCCGTGCTTGAGGTGATGGGACCGGGACTGGCCACCAGCCGTGTTTCGATTTTCCACCTCTCCAGCCGGCGCCGGGGCTCACCTCCCAGGTGCGTGTTAGTGAGGTTCATACGGAGTGGTGCGTGGTCAAAATAGTCGAGCCGCAGGGGGTCCAGGTGGCGGAGCACCACCTCTCGGCTTGAGATGGCGATGGGCGACTGGCGGTGGTGGTCGCAGTCCTTGTACCCCAGGCGGCTCCAGTTCTCCGGCCCTGCCGCCGTAGGCCGTCAGCAGGGTTCATTGAGAGTTTTGGTGCCAGCGAATGGAGAAGGTGTTCAAGAAAGACTCGACCTGGTTATGTCGTTATGTCATGTATTAAGTTGATACATAAAAAGTAATAGCAAGCCGCATTGACACGATTTTTGCCAGGAGTCGCGATAAGGCGGCGGTGAAATGCCAAATATGCTCGGTTTGTGTAAAGGTACGTGTTCAGAGACACTTTACATCTATCAGCAGGTCAGTTACTTCTGGTGCTCGCGCAGGCTCAGAATATAAAACTTAGTCACAGAAAAGCGCACGTGACGACATCTCTGAAAAAAACAGTCCAGAAGTCACCATGAGAGCTGCGTCAGCTTACCATTGTTTCCTTCGTAAGTCCATTCTTGGTCTGGAAAAGACCGATGGCCAGTTAAATGTTTACGGTGTAGTACAATCCAGCTAAATGGTTATTAAACGAGCGGCAGACCGCTGTCAAATCAGCTGACCACGGCATCTGCCAAACTAGTTTGCACCACGGACGCTAAGGCCACCCGACCCTAGCCACCCGACACTAGCCATCCGACCTTAGCCACCCGACCTTAGCCACCCGACCTTAGCCACCCGACCATAGTCATCCGACCCTAGCCAGCTGACCCTAACCATCCGACCTTAGCCACCCGACCTTAGCCACCCGAATATAGCCATCCGACCCTAGCCAGCTGACCCTAGCCACCCGATCTTAGCCACCCGACCTTAGCCACCCGAATATAGCCATCCGACCCTAGCCAGCTGACCCTAGCCACCCGATCTTAGCCACCCGACCCTAGCCAGCTGACCGCCAGCCCTGCACTCACCAGATGCAGTTACACGCCACAACAGCGATAAACCTCACCAAAGCAGTGAACGGTTTCTTATCGGATATGATTCCGAAAAAATACCGCATCTCGAGCATGGGAAACCCATTAAGAACAGTTTACAGGCGACAACAGGAGGCCAAAAATGCTTCGGACTCTTGCCTTTCAAAGTGAGACAGCCGTTTTGGAGTGCGTGTTTTTATGCACGGCTTCTGGCAGAGGTCACCGTCGCGTCACCGATCGATCAGCCGGAAGCAGTCAAATCGCAAGGTGTTCTTGCTCCTGGGAATGACTTTGGCGAGGACTGGAACCCGGTTGAATAAGGGAGGAAAATGTCCGATGGATCACAGCATAATACGAGCCCTCGCACCCTCAGTTTGTAGCATAGCTGCTCCCATCACTAAATCTGAAATGATTGCGTAGCACAATTTTGAGGAAAGCAGCACATTCGATGTTGAGGATTGAAGGAATACTCGAGACTCATGCGGTCAGTGGCCGGATAGCTGCATGCCCAGTGCGTAGCAAGATACTGGTGTGCCATGTATGCGAGCCGCTTCCGCCAACCCATTCATTGAAATTAAAAGGGGAATCCGATGTCCTTCAATACCATAGGATGAAGGATTTTAAAAATAATTGTACCTCGTCTAAACCAAAATGTATGTATCATTGTATACGATCTCTGCTAAGAAAATCATGAACAAGTCGTTGCCACTCATGAAACCGGAGACTGCATCAAACCAAAAACTGACAAGAGCGTGCTTCCGAGAGCTGAGTGCTTTTGGAAATCGGCCAACGCAGTGCAAGCATTTGTCGCCGGGCATTGTAACTATCGGCCGCCTACTGCATTTCCTTAGCTGCCTGTTTGATTGGCCTCTGAGCAGTCACTTCATCGTTGAGCTGACTCCAGAGATCGTTGGAGATTAGCGGCAATAGACCAGTTTACCCAATTCCATGCATTCAGCAATATTGTGCAACGCAAATAAATATGTTCCTCATTAAAGATTCCTCAGAAGGGATACTTGGGACAACGCGACTTGTGTTTAAGCAATGCAGCGAAATAGGTTTCGGCTAGAGTCTAGGTAAGCACGTTGCTAGATGAAGATTGCCAACGGCTAGGCATACATCAATTGACATTTTCAAATTTAATCTCGGAAACGTGATGCATCTTGTCTTCTATGAAAAGGGCCTGGAAGATAGGCCTGCAGAGAATGTTATACAGATGGGACTCATTGAATGCACCTTCAGTTAACGCGTCCTCGCTCTGGATGTCGACTGTCGCCAAAGGATGTTTAGAAAGCAAACTGCCTGAGAGTGACCTTTTGTGACACTTAATAGCGTCAGCGACACATATTGCCCGTCTGAATCCTATTTATGAGACGAAATTGCGTACACCGAGAATGTCACTTGACGTACTTCTGGGGATTTGAGCCGGGCCCCACGCTGACTCGAGCCCCTCCAATGCTGTTCTGAGCCTCCCCGTACTATAGGGTGACCAAAAAAGAGAATACTCGGTCAAAAAAATGCAGCAAGTGTCAGAACTGGGGGCACACTACTATAAGTAACTAAGCCCATCACTATCAATGTCATTCTCATTATATGCCAAGAATATGGCTATCACACTTGTTTCAAATTAGGAGTAATTTATCATCATCAGAATAATTTTGGTGCCAACTCATTCTTTCGTGAGGGATGTGAATAAAAGGGATCGAGCTCTGTGACATTATCATGGATCGGGGGCAATTTAGGTCAACTTTATTAGCGCAGTCCCCTCCCCAAAAAGGGGTTAGAGAATGACACTAGGGGCGCAGCCAAAGTCTTGGTGAGGAGGGCACAGGGTTGAAAAAGGGCACTCTGAGAGTAAAAGGTCATCCAAAAGGTGCCGGATACGACCCATTCGCTATTGTGGACACGTTTTTCTTATATATTTTTTTCTTTCTTTTACTGAAATATGGGTCGGACGCTACCGCGAGATCAATTCTGCCTAAAGTTTACAGCAAGAAACTGACAAAATCACGCGCTAAGTGAGTGCATGAAATAGATCACTGGCGCTTTGCATTTTACAATCGTCTATTGGACTCCTTTTAAACCGGTAACACTCAGAAACCCTGCCAGAATTTTTATCTGGACTGCAGAGAAATAGGAAGGATTCCGCGAATGTAAACTCAAGATCAAAATGGGTCAACAATTAGCGTTAATATGGTCAGGCCATATCTGCCGGGCTATCTTCAACATTCAGTCAGAACTGATCAGTGGTACAAATTATGTGACGCAGTTTTCAGCATGCACGCTCGCACATCTAAGAAACAAAACAAAAAACTCGACGCCAGACATTGCAGTTTTGCGGCTTACACTACGCCGTGTCTGGCAGGTGGACGAAAGTAGTGACGCATCTGAAGAAGTACCTTTGAACACTTTTGAACACCAAATCATAAATGTTGTGATATCGCGGGCACATATTCACCTGTGCGGTTTTTAGATTGATGGCAATAATGTATTGGTCTATACAGCACCACGAAATGGTGCTAGACTCTGGTTGTGGAACTAGAAGAGTAGAGGTAACATTTTTTTTCTTGTCCTGTTGCTGTGACTGTTAATCTGTCCAGAAGACAGCTTCAAAGTTGTAAAATAGATTCGCCCATTGTTTTGCGCTCAGAGAAAGATGGGACAGCCTAGTGCGTTTTAAATTCATTTCGACCCATTCTATTCAGCACCAGTGAGGCCCATTAATTCTTTCCAATAAACTGGCCCCCTCGAGTGCAGCACTACGGGCCACATTGTGGTGCCTTCTAACCAAGTACGTAGTTTCCTATTTTAGTTACAATTTTTGTCCATTTTTCAGTTATCATAATTTGCAGGTTCAGCTCCCAAAAACTAACTTCGAGAAACTACATCCTGCTGCCAGCTGCGAAACGTTGCGTCAAATCCGGGGGGAAAACCGCTTTAAGCGCATTTCGGAGGCAGGCTCAGCCATTTTCGCTTCCCGCACCTCCCCCGTACCCTTCCATCGCTCACTCAACTCTTCTCTAGCCATAACTGATGGCGTCTGACCGTTTCTTAGCGCCACCACGTGACGCGTGTGGCGGTAGCGGCCGTGACTGATGCACACAGACAGGCATTCCAGTCGAGGAATCGGTGGGTGGCATGCAGCTGACGGTGCTTTCACGTTGACAGTTATCGCACCAAATGTCACCTGGTAGCAGCTTTCATTGTGTGAATGAGCTTGGGTGCCGACTGGACCCGCAACCTAACACGCGCCTGGGTATCCGGCTGGATACCTTTCGCTCGGGTGGGGGTCAATTTGGTCCCCTGAGATCTCAGAAACTGAAAGAGCTGGAAACACCAAATTCACAGGGTGTGTTGACCTATACGTGATGTCACGTAAGCCAAAAGTTTGAGGTTCCTAGACCATGTTCTTCTCCTCAAATGAGGTCAAACAAGGCCAAACTCTAGGTTGGTCTCCAAAGGACCCCTGGAACCTAGATAACTGTTCTAAGCAAAGCTTCACATGACCATCTAGAGTCAGTGACCTTGTTTGACCTTTCGAAGGTCGTGGTGGCCAAAATCATGCAAGACGGCTCTGAGTTTTGCATTTGGATAAGCGACAAAGATTGCGCTAGGCAGTATGTTACTGAAAAGAAAATGTTGACCTGGGTCATTTTAGATTAGTGACTATTCTGATCTTTGGGAAGTCTATAGAAGGTGTATAATGCTGTTCCTGTTATCAATAAACTCAAAATGAGCACAGAAAACTGCCTCATACAGGAAGCCATAGAGTAATAAAATAGGTTGATTTTGACCTTTCTGATCTTTTCTGATCTTTGGGAAGTCTATAGAAGGTGTATAATGCTGTTTCTGTTATCAATAAACTCAAAATGAGCACAGAAAACTGCCTCATACAGGAAGCCATAGAGTAATAAAATAGGTTGATTTTGACCTTGGTCTGGCCTTTGGAACTGACCTTAGGTCAATGTAACTTGTTCATTCAATTTTTGTGTTGCCTAAAAAAGTATCTCGGAGGTATAGGGCTTCGCCTCACACTTTGTTGTTGGATCAGATTGAAAGATTCCCTAGAAATTGCCTTTGCTGAAACCATGGCCAGACCTTGACCTGCCATAGGTCAGCGAACTTACAAGGTGCATCTAAATTGTTGATGCTAAAAGATCCGCTATTCATTTATCCACAGCTATGCAAAATTTGGCGCGGCTATGCCGCGCCGTTCGGAAGCCATTCCAGGAAGACATTTGGGAGGGGGGGGGGGGGGCAATTTGGCTCCCACCCAAGCGCGTGTTGCAACGCGGTTACGCTGACCTGTTGTCAAGGTTGCACGGCCACACAAGCATGGTTAACCTTTTTCTAGAAGATGTATATTAACTGGGCACTTATTTGCAATGCTTTGGTGTGCTCCATGATGAATTATTCGCTTCCACACAATTTATGTTAATTCAGCCGTCGATAACGCATTCCTCTGCTGGGAGGTGTCCGAGATCAAGGATGCATGCGTCTTTCACAGCTGCATGACGACCGTATGCATAGTCAACGTATGGTATACTGTCAAGCATCATTCATTCGGCGAATGCTGAATGGTGGGACACAATAAAACAAAACAAAAATGTGGTTGTACTTGCTCACCACAAAGCTAGCAAGGCATGTCGATGTGAGGGCGTGTTCAAAGCTTGCAAAGATCACGTTAAGAAGTAAGATGGGCCAGATCGCACCGAGAAATCGCCAGATCGCCTAAAAACAATCATGGGAAGCGAATTCATAACTTAACGAATTTCCAACACTGTTTCGGCTCCAAAAGTACCGCAGATTATGAACTATTGCATGAGTTGGCTGAGCATTACAAGTGCAGAAAGGCAGAATGAAGCTTTTTCTGAACCTCCTTCCAAGCGCATTGCGATATATATATATATATATATATATATATATATATATATATATATATATGTGCTTGTGTGTGTTTTACTCAGGCTTAAGTCATAAATCAACTTTCAGCTGCATCCTAGACTCAGATTGGAAGTATAAAATGCACAGTGTATCTGAAATACATGAATTTTTAGGGGATTCAACCCATTTGACATGCGAGCCTTCCTTACACACGCGTCCGTCACCAGTTGTTATTGGCCTCGGTGCCCTCCGGCTGCCAGTTCCAGCAGCCTCCCGGCAGCGGCCCGTCTGTCTCACTCACCGGCGTGACTTGGCGACAGTGAGGCGGCGAGCCAGACGAGTGACACAGCCAGCCGCAGCGCTGACATCGCCAGGCGGCCGCCGGCGACACTGACCTTGTCCGGCTGTGCTTTAAGGTCGTATCGACCGACCCGGAACGGCGTCCAGCGCGCTAGTGCTGACGTCACCGATGCTTACAGCGCCAGTTCTGCAAGCGCCGGCGGATTTTCGCCGCCAGAGGCGCTATGGTCTAGCTGAGCCGGTTATAGACGGCGCTGTTGAGACAATTTTAAGGGCGTGTTTGTTTTGGCGCAGCCTCTGGACGAGTCACGTTCTTCATTCATGAGTCATGGCTGAATGATGGCTCACAATGGAAACTTGAGCGCACAATCACAATACCAGTGAACGATAAATTGTCGCCAACAAATACATCATCACTGCTTGTTCCCCACAGCTGTCGTTTCAAGCTATGTTCAAAAAATAATGTGACGTAATACTTGTAACGTGCAATGTGCAGGCTATACATTTCCGTAACTTAACAATATCATGTTTCTGAGTAAATGTGTTTATTTAAGGAATCTGGTTCTATTATCTGCTGTCATTTTTGGGTACAACATGCGTGTATGCACCCATTGACGCTTAAAACACTATCGAACTTAACGTGGCTTTTCCGAGTGTCACGTCGGTAAGGTTAATAGGTCAGGCATGTGAAAATGGACACTCCCAGCAACGATCACACAGGGATGCATCAAGGACACACACACACACACACACACACACACACACACACACACACACACACACACACACACACACACACACAAACATATATATACATATATATATATATATATATATATATATATATATATATATACGCGTGTATGTTTGTATATTTAAAAAGTGCAAGCTAAAGGCTTGCAAGATTTAGTGTTAAATCATGCGAGTTACAAAGTACGGAATTCCGTAGGTAAAGCGTTATACATTTGCACGACACTACACAGCAGGCGCCGCCTACTCGCCTCCGTTCTCACGCGGGGAAGCCAGATCAGCGTCCTGACGGGCGGAGTGAGAGCGAAGATAAGAAATGATCTGCGTCTGAGACAGGGGCTTGCGGTTCGCATGTAGTACACATTTTGTGACGCGTCGGTGGAGTGTTGTTGATTGAGCTGACTGGCACAAGGCCAGCCCAGTTCGCACGCACGTCCAACATATGATCAACTTTGCGACGACCGGAGACAACGCGCAGCGCGAGGTTCAAGACCTTTTAAAGGCGCTTTGTGCTTTTCTCCAACTCATTACCATAAACGGCGAGGCAATATCGGACGCGTGAGAGGACCAGGGCAGAAGGTCAGACAGGGCCTGACGACGTGCGTGGGACAGCCCAATGAGGGTTCCGTTGCATTTTTTGATGCGTGCAGATACGTAAGAGTTCCAGATGAGGTGCTTGCCCAACATTACGCCAAGGTTCCTCACGGTGGGGCCGTCACACACTGCATCCTCGCGGAGCCGAACAGTTATGGAGGCTATGCCAGAACAACTTTGACGGTAACCGCAAGCTACGAGTTCCGTTTTGCCAGTATTTACTTCCAGACCGAGGGAGTAAGGCAGATATCCAAGGATCAGCGGCTGTTCACTGTGGCGATGATCTGAAGGAGATAATCTTATTCCAGATATCAAAACTTGGGTGTCATCAGCGTACTGGAGCACGTGCGCGTCAGGAGCGAGCATGGGCATGTCGTTGGCAAAGATCTGGGGGAGGGCCGCGCCTAAAGAGGATACTCAGAGTACACCGATAGGATCGGACGGGGGCCCGGATAGGTGTCGGTTACCACGCTCGTCAGCAGTACAAACAGATTGGGTATGACCACAGAGGCAAGATGAAAACCAAGCAGGATCGAAATAATAGGCTTGGAGTTTAAGAAGAGGCTTTGTGTGGGCGCTCACATTCGGACATTTGGAAAGGTCGAAAGACAGAAAAGAGCAAGTTCCTAGCGGCCAGTGACAGCAAGGATATGGTCGGATAGGTAAGGAGCATGGTTTCTGTGGAGAAACAGGGGCGAAAACCATGCAGGAATGAGAAAAATGGGTTTTTCGCAGCCATTGAGGGGTGAGGCGGACGCTGCACCGCCCTCTCCACAAGCTTGGAAAGACAAACGATGGAAAGGGACACAAAATAACAGGTTAAGGCAATAATCACGCTACTTAAAGGCCTACCTATTTGGGGCCAATGGGCTGCAGCCCGTACCGCAACCGTGGTGTTGTACAGCAAGAGACGACCGGTCTGCAATCTGTCCTAGCCACAGCCCTGGGAACGCTCAAGTCTATCATATAAGCTATCCTGTACTCAATATCATGGGTTTGGAAGCGATATGTGAAGGGTGTAACATATTAAATTTGACGACTAACCAGCTTAAATGTGTGTTACATTTGCGTATCTGCACCATCATCTACAGTCATCGTTAGTGTTTTCTTTTTTTTCTTTTTTTTAATGGTTGGTGGGTCTTCGCCGATAGAACTTCCACTCCCATCGACCTTGATGGCTTCTGTTTAAGTGGGGGAGATGAAAAACGGTCTCAGCATCTGTGAGCCGTACTGTAAAACACTGGTTAACGTCTTGTCTCCGTGGGAAAAACGGTAAGAAAGAAGGCAAGAGTGATCAGCGCGTCGCCAGTTCTCACCTTACATGTACTCAAATCGTCACCCCTCCATCAATAGCCTCATCTAAATGAGCTCATGTTTTCTTCATCAAAACCGTATTTATACCCATTCGACTAGCTAGTCATAGAGGTGTCGTTAATCCCGGATCGAAAACAGCAATAAGTTCATTGCAATTCAACATAGTTGGTTTCGGAGTAAAATTAACCGGCCATTTTGATAGACCCGGCAGCATGTCATGGCTTTCGCTGCTATGTGCACTGGGTATATGCCTTCGATCTTCATCCAATATGTCAGCGTAAAAGTGGCCACTATGAAATAAAACATACCCATAATAAAAGTACCATTAGATAGGATTCGCCTCTCGTTGGGTCATGGCCTAAACCACAACTTCACTAAAAGAGCGAAGTTTGAAATGGGAAATGTTCTAGAAGAAAGAGCGATACGAAATGAATGATCAAGTATGACACAACTAAGAGACTGGACACGTTTAGCGCGGACCGATTACATCGCAGGGCTGATCGCTTCTAAAACTCTTTCAGCCAGATCCCTTTCACAAAACTATTTCAGCCATCTCCCTTTCACGCTTATTGGGAAACTCAGTATTCCAGCTATATTTGTGAAGACCGGCTTGACCAGCGTAATGGCCATGTATTAAGCGAATACTGCTGGCGGCAATTGCAGACAACTCCGTTTTGTCGACGGCAACGATGAAAAAGCTGCCGATTTGCGGGAGATGATCGGCGAAAAAAATGGATGCTTTTGCGAGCTGTTTCATGACAAAATTGAAAAATCGAAACATAATACAACAGACCATCCCAGTTACACGTATCTCAAAGCTTAGTATTGGTCCATCTACGCCAACCTTTGCAGCGCGGACTTTTGTAGAGCACATGTCGAAACAATGACCTTTCGCTTTCTGAGCAAGTTGAGGCACAAGATGTTTCTGAACGTAGTAGCTTTAACCTGATTGTTTTTAGCAGGCAACAGAAATATACTAAAAACTCCACTGTATCAGCGCCGTCAACACGAATCAGTGATGACACAGTGCTCTTCCAATATCCCCCAAATCAGTGCTTTTCACATATTTTTCAGCCAAGATTCACTTCACATACTAAACAGCTTAAAATACCAAATAGCTAGGCCTATTGCTAGTCGTAAGATAGGTGGCCTGCCTCAGTGTCTTGCGGCGAACATGATCAGTTGGTTACACAGCGTTTTAGATCGTGCCATTTGAGATAAAAGATGGCTTCGAATGCTCGCAATGCGGCTGTGATTTGCGCTGAGTGTGTTTAGTGCAGGGCTGTAGGCTGCCGAGGTTGTGTTCGTGTCGCAATAAGCTTGCCGGCTTGAGGGACGTAGCTAATTGTCAGCTTCCTTAACAAGTGCGGGGGTGGCCGATTGAATATTCCTCGCCCGGGTGGGGGTCAATTTGACTCCCCCTTGAGATATCAGAAACTAAGAGAGCTAGAGGCGCCAAATTCACAGTGTGCCTTAGTCTGTACCAGGACTCCCTGGTGTCAATCTTTGAGGTTCCTAGGTCATGATCTTCGAGTCAAATAATGTCAAACAAGGTCAAACTCCAGATTGACCAGAGTGCTTTCAGACCTTCTCATGGAACCAACGCGAACCGGATACATGTTCCAAGCAAAAGGTCACTGGTGCTCATTTAAGGGCAGTGATCTTGTCTCGCCTTTCGAAGGTCATTGTGACCAAAATCATGAAGGCTGATTTGATGTTGCACCTGAACAAACTTCAAGGATTACGTTAGGTAGTATGCTTCTAAATGAAACGTAGACCTGCATCATTTTTGGTCAGTGACCTTTTCTGGCTTAAAAAGTTCAAGCAAATTGCACGATGTAGTTCCTGTTGTCAACAAATTAAAAGTGAGGGCCAGAAACTACCCCATACAGCAAGCTCTCTAGTATAAAGCAGGTTGGCTTTGTTATTGGTCTGACCTTCACACTTCACCCTAGATCAAAGTAACTCATTATTTCAATTGTGGTGTTGCCTTAGAAACTATCACAAAAAAGTGTGGCCTCGTCTAACACTCCGTTGTTGTATCAGATTATATGATTCCCTGGAAACTGTTTTCGCTGGAACCATGGGCTGACCTTGACCTGTCGTTGATAAGTGACCGTACAATGTACATCTAAACTTGTTATATCAAACGATCCCCTATTCAGTGTTCTATACCTGAGCAAAATTTGGCGCGGCCACGCGCCAAATTTGGCGCTGTTAGGAAATTGCAAAATTACACGCTGTTCAGAAATCATTTCGAACGACCATTCGAACCGAGTCAAATTGACCCGCACCTGTACGTGCGTTGATACGCGCTCGGGTGGGGGTCAAATTGACCCCCTCGAAGGTTTCTCCAGAATGATTTCCGAACGACGCAGTGTAGCCGCGCCAAATTTTGCATAGCTGTAGGCAATTGAA